CAGAGAGGAACAGGTTTCCCGATTCCTTTATGAGGCAGAATGACTATTAATCTTTCTAACCTCCTAAGTGATACGCAGAATTGAGAGTTGTATCATCAAAAATAGAATAAAAGTACCGTGAATAACAACAAGATTAAGCCAACTAACTGAATACAGGAAGCTGATATATTTCCAATTGTAGTACTTCACAGTGGCATGTGAATATCATGGTACATATCTATGGTAATGATTTAGCAACGCTGTAGATCAAATTCATAATAGGCTACTACCATCTGACACCATCACTGTACCAATGCTATTTCCATAATATTTTAGATAGCACCTTCTTCTCAAGTCAGATCATACAGTGGAGCCACAACACATTTCATATGCTTTCCACATTCCTACAACAGCGTGCGGTTATTTTTACAGATGAACGTAGCTGCGGTGTGTTGTTATTTAAATAGGCAGCAAACGAGCGCCACGTCAGACGCGAAACACATCATCCGCTTGGGACCAGAATAAAACTGCAGGAAAAAAGGCTGTTAGTGAACAGCCGCTGTGCAGACATATACGTCTAAACAAGGTGTGTTTCTGTGAGGTCGACTTATTAACTTGCAAATCGGAGTACAATGAACGCCAGGCCACATATGTGTTTCTCAGCACACACTACAACTTCCCTTCCAAACCACCATAAGCACACAATATAAAAGCATCACCGATCACACTGCACCGCTGGACTGAAATCATCTTTGCGCTCGCATCCAACTCACCTTTGCTGCCAATTACTTTCTGTGTTCACATCCACATGAGAGCCGAGACAGAAAGTGGATCTGGGAGAGAAAGGGTCGTTGACAGCTCCAGCTGGACTCGCTTTTCCGCTCAGCGATGTCCGATTCCTCAGCGAATAGTTCTTTTGAGTCGGATCTTTACAATGTATCGGTTGAACAAAATAGGTTCACGAAACCATTAGGTGCGTTCGACTTGAAGCACGGCTGTGAACTCCTCCAGCAGTTCAATTGCTATTTCAACAGAACTTTTGCCATTTGGGGGTAAATTTCAAATGAATTCAGGTAAACAAATTTCATGATCTCTTACAGTCTCAAACAAGTTGGCATCCTTTTAGAAAATGAACTAAACAAAATGATCAAAAGACCACATGTGCAGGTGGGGTAGAGTTTAAAAACTTCCATTCAAACATGAACATCTCTATAAACACTGTTTGCTGGAGAGAGAAAGAAAAAAAACAACAACTATTTATATTCTACGCTGTGCTATAACCCCAAGAGCCTTTTTAGCAAACAATTTCAAGCTAAATTTCAAATGAATTCAGGTAAACAAATTTCATGATCTCTCACAGTCTCAAACAAGTTGGCATCCTTTTAGAAAATGAACTAAACAAAATGATCAAAAGACCACATGTGCAGGTGGGGTAGAGTTTAAAACCTTCCATTCAAACATGAACATCTCTATAAACACTGTTTGCTGGAGAGAGAAAGAAAAAAACAACAACTATTTATATTCTACGCTGTGCTATAACCCCAAGAGCCTTTTTAGCAAACAATTTCAAACATGAAATCTACAACAAACTATTAAGCTCATGTGGTTAATGTGAAATGTCAAAAGCAAGAATGACATTTTTTCAACGAGTTTTTTTCGTAAGGCAGTCAATCTCTATTCAGACTGAGTTCATAGAAGACTTCTGTGTTCACCACTGGAGTGAACACAATCTCCAAAGAGTTCAAAATTCACTCATATTTCTGAAGAAAAGCAGGATATGGCTGTCTGGAGAGCATCTTCTGCAGGCGTCTGGAGTGCAAGGACTCGTCCCACTGGTGACGGTGGACAGTAACACATTGGATTTTAATCATGAAATCACTTTGTATTCTTAAGGCTGAAAGTTTTACAGAAATCACAGTGCACTACACAAACACAGCACAGTGCGAATCGCAAGCATGACACCCATAATCTGCAGAAAACGAGATCCAAAATGTGATACTGATGCAGTGACAGGTAATATGTGTGAAACAGTGACAGCTGTTGAACATCCTGGTTTTGGTTCGACTTCGAGCCTTAAAATCTTCAACATAGAAAATGACCAAAAGCTCTATGAACAGACCATGTCATCAAACTCTGAAGCTCTCTCCTTTGCCATCAATGTGCCGGAGACGCAGGTAGACGTCTGTGCCAATGCCCTGCATCGACTGGATGGCCAAGGAACCTCCCAAGTATTCGGCGTACGCCCGAGATGTAGGCAGGCCAAAGCCAAACCTGGAGGAGAAAACAAGTGGCATCACTGAGATGTTCTTCAATCCCATTACAGATCACCACAGCGCATCCTAATTTATCCAAATCCTCAAATGAACCTTAAACTGTGCCAAATAACTTAAACTAGTCTAAGCAGAAAAACAAATTCTATTAAAGGGGTCATATGATGCGATTTCAATTTGTCCTTTCTCTTTGGAGTGTTACAAGCTCTTGGTGCATAAAGAAGATCTGTAAAGTTGCAAAGACTAAAGTCTCAAATCCAAAGAGATATTCTTTATAAAAGTTAAGAGTCAGCCACGCCTACCTAAAATGGCTCGTTCTAACACGCCCCCACATGTCTACGTCACGATGTGGGAAGATTTGCATAACACCGCCCAAATGTTCACACAAAGAAAGAAGGAGTAACTTTTATTCTCGCTGTAATATTGAAAAGTGAAATGCCCAGAAATCAAAAGAATGCAGTAGCCCCTCACTGCAGAACACAAGATCCAGGGGGCGTGGTTGGATCCACATCTAGGGGGTGGAGATTGGTAGGTTTAGGGATCAGGGGGTGGAGACGGGTAGGTTTAGGTATATGTAAGGTGGGAGGAGTTGGATCTGGATCCACGCCCCCTGGATCTTGTGTTCTGCAGTGAGGACCATCTGAAAGAATGAGGGATGTGATGAGTATCACAGTCTGTGTCTTGGGTCACTCTCAGTAAGCCAACTGTGACTTGCTCTTCTGCCAAGAACACGCCGTTCTCTAGTGACTGGCTGAAGATGAGTCTGATCCAAACGTAAAGAACCATGAGAACAAGACCAGACACATGTCTCTCAATTTGTAAGACAAGCACAATACAGGGCTTTGGAGGTATTTGAGCCAAGGCTTAAAAGTTCTTTATGCTTATTATAAAATAATATTTCTCTGCCATACAAAAAACTCCTATGTTCATGGTGGTTGTACTATAACAGATGAAGAGCATCTAAATATTCCATGTAAACATTCCCGTTTCACCCTTGCGCGTATTGTATGAAAGTTAAGAGTTTAGTGGTCCTATTTAGTCATGAGAACTTGCACAGACAGGGTTAGTAAACAATTTAACCGCATTAGTCTCATGTTACCACAAAGTTTAAATCATTAAAAAAAATGTATTTTCATTTTTAGCCCAATGCAATATATTTTTCCCTGAAGACTGTCATCATGAAGTAAACATGATTTGTTCTTTTTTAAAAGCAGAGGAACGAGTCAGAATTATTTTTTTTGCCATAGGCGGCAACATGTCAGTTGCTGTTGATAAAGATGAACTTTTGAATCCAGAGAACATTCCTTTTGAAAAAGGAACAAACAACATTGGCAGTTTCTAATTTAGGTTTCTATCTCATTTGTAGAATAACTATAGACCTACATACTCCTCCATTGTATGGAGATCCATATGAAAAATGTTGGTTTTCAATGCACTGCATTTTTTTGAGAGGCTTATCTGTAGAGATTGTTTTGGATAGTTTGCCACTGTCATAGAAAACCTGTATCGTACCATTGAACTTGAACTGAACTTGGCAGGCAGTCCGTGTGGGTGACCTTATACGAACGTTACTAAGACTGCAAATATCAGAGAGAGAGAGGGGAGCTATACTAGGACAGGTCCCATAACAGGAACTTCAGCTTTCTTATGGATACAATTATAAAGACCCCATAAGCGTGTCCTCATCATAGTAGCTTTCAACTAGATTTTTAGGTTTTCTAAAATATGTTATATGGGCAAGTGTGTATTCTGGGCGGTTGTTAGGGCACTGGTTTGTAGTTGCTTATTGGTCAAGTCAAAAGGGGGCCTAGTCTCAAGTCCATGAGATACTTGCACTGATTTTAATCATCCAGCAGGTAAACAAAATATCAGCAACAGTGACAGTTACGCATGTCTAAGCAAGCTAAAAGAAGTTCAGGAGGTCTGTTAACATAGTAACAGAACAATAACCAGCTAAATGAATAATTACCAGTGAAGCCACTTCAAAATCATTTGTTTTAAAATGAGTTTGACACCATAAATCAAGATAAATGTGTTATGCAAAACCTTTCAAATAACCTTAAAGTTTTTTATTAAACCTTTTTCAGAATTAATATTATTTCCCTTTGACCTTTTCAATAAGGGTTTAGAGGAGGAAACTCTCTAAACAGGGAGGAACTCCGTGTTTTCTTTTTTGCATTACTTATTGCTGTTTATCTCACTATAATATCTGGCACTATATTGTGTCTCTTTTTAGCTGAAATGCTTTTGGCATTTCATAACTTCAGTGCATCTGATGGCTGGGTCACAATGACCCATGCTTGCCATAACTGCCTCAGATTGAATGGCCAGCAATCCTGTACAACCAGGAAAAGTTCCAAACTCAAATTCTTGCATAACGTGTCTGAAATGTTAACGACTTGCTTTTCCTGGCGTTTCACCAAAGGCTATAGTGTTAACACATGGTTACACTACAATAACCCCATCATGCACTGACAGACAGGAGAAATTGCTTAGACATCTATTTTTGGTCGTCGTTCATGCAGCAACAGATATAACTGTATCATACTGGTAAAAGTTCAATATTGTCCATATGAGCAGCTGCTAAGACAACACTCACCACAGTCCAAATATAGCAACTGCTTTAACAGCAAATCTGACTGTCACAACAGGATTAGATAGTTAAGAGAGCATAGTAGAACGGGAGGTGTGTCGTTTGTGTCACATTGACCTATATGTGACAGGAACGTTACCTCATGGCGTTCTTTAGCAGCTCAGGCAAGATGTAGTCCAGCGGCAGTGGAATGAAGGGAAAGCGGGCCGCCACATGGCCATTAATGCGAACCCGTGGAGAGTTCCCGTACTGATGCTCACAGAGCCGTCTTGAGGGGAACAGAGGAGATCAAGACATTACACTACCATTACAAGTCTTTTAAAGAAATTTAGCACAATTTATTTCCAAATTTAAGCAAAAGTCTTCAAAATGAGATGTTTTTAAGATCATGAGAAACATAAAATAAACTGGTCAAAACACTGGCATTATACATAAACACAAACAAAATTGCATATAGAGAAAATGAGGCACATGCTACTGGTTCTGCCTCACCAGGTTACGCAAGTACTGGTAAATTAATTGCCGTCTTGAGCATTTCATTTAGTCTAAAGTAATTTTATTAATAATTTGACACTAATTAAAGAGAGTGTCTCATTCATAGCCAGAAAAATGTGGTCTCTGTCTGGTTTTTGAGGGACGGCTTTGATCATGCCACTGTAAAGAGGAACAGGGCAGCTCTGCTGATGCAGCATATTAATTGTCAGACTCTCATGAGACGAGCAGAGCAGCCTGACCTCCAATCTTGCATAAGACCACAGAGAACGGTTTTTAGGACTGTAACAACTAATCGATAATGAAACTAGATAATTATTTCCGATCAATCCACATGAAAGCCACATAAAACCAAAACAAACATACTATTATTGGGCAGAATATGCTGCAAACTGCACCAGACTTTAGGTTGAAAGTCAGCTTAGTACAGAGGAGGAGAAACTGATCTCTCAGATCAGAATGAGAATACAGAGATATTCTGTCCATTTGTAGGCTGAAGGAATGAGTCACTGATTGGAAAAAGTGAAGTAAAATAAGAGTGATGGTGCATGTGTATGAGGCTTTAGCAACTGCACGTTCCTCATAAAACCCGTGTCTGCATACTGCACACAACCTGCATTGTGACCTGATTCTTTTCAACAAAGAAATAACCAGGAAGAATGTCGGACATTTCAGCAAAAGCCTCTAAACTTTCAACCAGCTGATGAAGAGAAAAACGGAAAGTAACTAAGACTATAAGGGAAACATGAGAAAAAGAAAAAAAAAGATTTACTGTGTTCTGATTGGATAATGCAGTTCAGGGAATTCTTTCTCTTACAACAGAAGCAAGAAAAAGAGAGTTATGATGACTTCCTCTTGTTCATATGTAAGATCAGTCATTTAGATGATCATCTTACATGAGATGATTTATGAGGCAGAATTTACAACACGCAAGACATAAACGGATGAAGTGTTTGAGTCGCTGTATATGATCATCTTTAGGAAATGTGCGTAAGTGGCAATGTTATGAAAATTCAAGTTCTCTGACGAATGTAAAGACAAAAATAATGTGTTTTTTTATGCTGGTTCATTTGCTGGCTCATCATGGCATGCAGTAACTGTATTCACCAGAAAATATATTAAACCTTAAGATTTCTTCACAATATAACTATTTCTAATATATTTTCTTAAATTTTTTTACTTCAGAATAATAGCAAGAAATTATGGTACTATAAATTCACAACAGTAGCAAACAGTTAAAGAAATGTTCACATGTACATCATCCAAATCTACAAACCATTCCTGGACTGTTGACACATTAAACTCATGTAGAAGTAGTAAATACATGTTTTGCTCCCACAGCAAAGGTTAGACAGTAGTTAAACAGTGACCTTTAACACTCATCTTGGTCAATCACAAATGAGAACTGGGCTTTGACTCTTTCCTTGAGCAAACAGAGCGCGCGCACACACACACACACACAGCTGTAAATGGAGCTGACTGTGCTGATAACAGAACAAAAGAGCTCAATAACCTCTTAAAACAGTCTTAAACACTCACATATGCAAACAGATGACAGGATGCAGCCAGATGGCAAACAGAAGGAAGATAAAAGGACAGCACACTCACCGAGCAAAATCAACCCACTTCTCGATGATCTTTTTAGGGGACAGGCGGCGGCATATAATGCCTACAAAGTCAGGCTGAAATAGTGCAAAGAACAAAATGACTGTAATAACCGTGCTACAGCAGAAACATGCCAACTGGAAGAGATATCATTTATACTGCTTTAGAGTCTTTAATAGTTCAGCTCGGACGTTTTTCATGAGCTGAATCAATCTACAGAAAATCTCATTTTTGCGTCAATCTGTACTAGTTTGATTCTTGATTACCTTTTCAAAATTTAGTAATAAACATCACTAACATCACAAAGCACATATTCAGTTTGTTAAAGCTGAAGAAGACAATTCCTACTCTTTATTTATTCCAGTAATTCAGTCTTAATAAATCAACCTGCTTTTATCTGTACAACAGCAGGCATGATTAAACGACAGCAATCAACTAGAAAATGTGCTTCCTGTCCTGAACCATTCCAGCTCTCAAGTGACTCCACAAGTAAGCAAATATATTGTATGTTGCAACAGGGCTCTTTGTAATTTGACAGCAGATGTGGGTGGGGGTCTCCACTTGTATATTTAGTCTATGCATGTGGGTCATGCAAAAATATTGGTGGTCCACTTGGCTGCCTGCAGGAGACACTTACATCACTGGACACATTACTGAAGACTGCATTGCTCTTACTGCTGTGATGTCCATGTGCTCATGGGTATTTTAAAGAAGAACTGGAAAGTTTCCTAATATGGATTTGTTTACTGTACATAGCATATTTGAACTTATCTAATACAAAAAATTGTAAGACCCATCGCTAATTGCTGGAAATGACTCTAATACTGTAAGAAATGGTGGTGGTGCTTAAATATTAAGCAAGGGACGTACGTTATCCTCATGCAGGGCAAGGTGGTGTGTGGCCAGCATGCGTATGCCCAGACGAGACGTCAACGTTGTGTCCAAGAAATTACGAACCAGAGTCTCGTCCTGAACAAAAAGAATGTAACAAATAAATAATGAAAGAAAGAACTAGGTCCGATTCACTGAGAATTACCAAAATAAAAGTATAATATGCACCATGCAGAAAGATGCTACAGTAAGATTATCTTACCGTTATGTGTTTACGACATTCCCTGAATCCTTCAGCTAACATGGTGACAACATCTTTGTGATCATCAAGAAGCTGTTTTACAAGTTTGCTATACCGAGCCTCAGTCTCCTGGTCTTTTATCTGAAGATAAAGATTTGCAAATAAAAATATTTGCAAAAATAATATTGGTTAGGTTAGCGAAATAATATTAATTGTTAAACTTTCATATGTAATAGACAATTTACAGTCAGAGTTAAAATTATAAATAAAGTCTGGTTGGGTAATCATATCTTAACTGTTATTTTCCCTAATTATGTGGCTTCTTACCAAACAAATAGATGGCTCCATTTACGCTAACAGAAAATGGTTTTGATACACGTGAATGAATTTGTTTCTTGTTATCTTTACAATCTTTTGATGTAAATGTTGCACTTGAATGCTTGAAGTATAAATTGTGACTACAAATTTTCTTACAAAGAATTCCAAAAAGATGGATGGTCAGGAAAATACATTTCAGACAGTGAAGATGAAGCTCCTTCAATATACTATTGACAAAGTATTCAAAAATTCAGCATGGCCATCATAGGAATAAATTACATTTGAAAATACATATATAAAATTATACTACTACAATATTACAATTTGACAATATTACAGTGTTTTTGATCAAATAAATGTAGATTTAATAAGCATAGGAGACACCTTTCAAAAACATTTTTAAAAAATCTTACAGACCCCACTTTTGTAGTGCACAATTAGTGTACATTTGTGTTATTTCATAGTTTGGATGACTTTACTATTACTCTAAAATGTGGGAACAGGCAAAGGTAACAGAATGAGAAGGTGTGGGCCATAATTTTGACAATAATTGCGGCAATCCCTTCAGTTGTCTCATATTTCCAGTTAGCAGATATTGTGCAACATAGGTATTTTTCATTTGAACTCACATTTGCCATATTCACGAGCCAGCATTTTACATAGTCAGTCAGTCAACAAAGACTTATGTTTCACTGGTGAGAGGTGATACCGCCACACGATCTTCTACAGCGGCTCAATCAGCACACTAAACTCACAGGCCTCTCAGGTTTCAGAATTAATTATGGAAATTTGCAAGCTGGTCAACAGTTGACTAGGCTGTGTATGAATTAATATGTAGAAGTTTGGTCATCTTGCACTTACAGCTGGGAAGTCGCTCAGCATGTGGTAGGCCCTGATATAAAGCTCGTGCTGTGGAGAAAGAGAGAATGAATCAGTACAATATATGGGTAACAAATGTGCTGTGATGCAGTTCCTAGAGCTGGTGTTCCCAGCCTTCCCCGAATCCCATTCCTGGCCCCTCACCAACCCTCTAAGCGCATGGCTTACATTCTTCTATTGATTCAAGGAACAAATTAAGAAGGATTTCACTTTCAACAGATCAAAGGTTGCGATGATATACACTGCAAATGCAAAACACATACATACATATATATATATATATATATATATATATATATGCTCGCGCAGCTCACACATCCAGGAGAAAAGAAACTTGTCAACGCTGCCCCATGACTTTTATTAATAACAGTTTATATATATATATATATATATATATAATGTTAATACTTTTTCATTCTTTAAATCTTTCTTTATTATTGTCAGTGTTGAAATGGATCAGATTTCATTGATAAACAGAAAGTTCTAAAGAACGTTTAAAAAAAACAAACATTTTTTTGTAACATTATAAATATCTTTACTGTTACTTTTGGTTAATTTTATGCATGCTTGCTGAATAAGGGTATTACTACCCTCAAACATTTAAATGGTAGTGTAGGTTAAGAAGATATTTGACTTGAAGATGCATTTACAAAAAAAAAAAAAAAAACTGATGAATAAATTAATTTTTGCAGGGCAGCATTTATTTTTAATTATGCAGACTCAATTGTTCTGAACACCTCTGAACTCAACTAGTGAGCTCAGAAAACAAAACAAGCTATAGACGAGACTCTTTTCTGGGGCAGATGTAGGTAAAAGTTCACTGGAGGAGGAGGACTTGCTGAAGGAAGTAAACAAGGAGGAGAAAGGGGAGGGCTTATTACTTGGTGATTGTCTGTTTGTTTTGTCTGTTAGTGGACCATGAAAGCGAGAATTGCCTGCAATGTTCATTATAGTTATTTATGTTTTTTTATTGTAGAGATGAACAGCTCAAGGAGGTCAGGACATCATACAACGTGATCCAAAAGTCGACACTGAACATCTTGGAATCAAAATTTAATTTAAAGCTGTAACTATTCTTAAACCATGCATTCCTGATGAACATGATCATCCGTTTTTACACAAATGTGTGGAGTTCATGCAGCTCAAGTAAAAAAATAAAAAAAAAAAGCCTTTTTACTAGTGGGATGTGATTTTGGACACCAATTTTGGAATAGTAAAAATAGAACAAGATTTTATTTATCATTTATAGTTTGCACTATAAACAAAAAAATGACAGCAGAAGTCCAACCACTTGTGCAGCAAGCCAAGTTTACAGTCAACATGAAGAACACCAAAGTAGTAACAAAACGGTTAAGCACAGTAAAAAAAAAAACATGGTTTCAGAAAAAGTTATCATGTCAGTCAACCTCAAATCATTTAGGCTACTGAAAAGAGTGCAAAAGATACACTACTGTTCAAAAATGTGGGCTTTTTTAATTTTATTGAAAGAAGTAGGCTGCATTTATTAGATCAAACATTCAGTAAAAACTGTAATTATTGTGAAATAGTATTACAATTTAAAATTTATATATTTTAAAATGTAATTTTTGTGATGGCAAAGCTGAATTGTTCACCATTGTCCTCAGTGTCACATAGTCCTTCAGAAATCAATCCCGAATTAATCACAGCTGAATATAGTTATGCAATTTAATAAGAAGAAAGTGAACTTTCTATTGATTAAAGAATCTTGTTTTTCAGGATTCTTTGATTAATAAGAACATTTGTGTGTACTATAAATATTTTTTAACATGATAAATGTCTTTACTGTCATTTTTCATAATGCATCCTTGCTGAATAAACATTTGAATTTCTCTAAAAAACAAAAAAACTTACTGACACCAAACATGAACAGTAGTGTACTTTTATGAGATAAGAATAGAAAAGGTACGTTGATTTTTCTGCACTAAATAATACCCATGCTTGTATTGACAAAGCCCTTTTTCTGTCCATCAAAAATCAATACCAGTACTCTGCTGGAGGGATTCAAGCGAAGTCACGCTCAGCAACACGTCACTGCAGAACACTAGGGGTTTGATAAGACTGGCATTGAATCGAACATGGTCAGTTCAGTTCTCTGTCTGAACACTATGCCCACCAGCCCCAGCTCCTCATCACCTAATATCCCCTCTGAGAGTATCAAGGGGGGAGCTTCTCCAACAAACCAACTTGTAAGGGAGATGGTAACACTACCCATCACAACAATGTATGATAGCAGAGAAATCCCACAGAGATGTAGAGGAACTTACCACTTGGAGAATGGTTGGGTTGCAGCCGATAATGAAGGGCAGGCTGCGGAAGCCCTTGATGCGATGGGCGATACGGACAGGCAGCTCTTTGTGTAGATACCTGCCACTGCTCTGCATTGAATCAAAGCACACACAGCTTCATTAGAACTCAATATTAACTCTCATAATGAAAATTTCTCCAATGCCAAGTAACAAGTACTTTATGGACTGGGTACCATGTTTATACCATGGTATGTGAAAATGTTAATTATGTGCAATATTAAATTTATCAAAGTATCACAGTATTACCATTTAACACCATAAATATATCATAATACCACCACTACTTGTAAAAAAATTAAATAAGATGTATCCCATGATAAATCAACATAATGATGCTAAACAGGCACAAAGCACAGTTTATGTACTGACAAACGACTAGTTTTTAGAAGACCGGCTCCAATGTGGGTTGGGATAAATGTAGGACAGAGGACAGGAGTGTGTAATTACCAGGACATGTTGTCCATCAGGAGACTTCCCTGCATACAGCATAGTGGCTGGTGTCAGTCTGACAGAAGGCTGTGAAGAGAACAGTACTGTTAAAAATAGCATATACTTGCATATACTTATTATGCCCATAGTCTATTAATCAAGGTTTCAGCCTGTTTTGGAAAAGTTAAAGAAATATTAACTAATCCATTTAGTTTTATAGGATCTAGCTATATCTGTATCTTATAAACGTTATATAAGTCCACGTCCATGGAGTGATTCATGGGTATAGTTACATTTATTAATAGGCCTATGTGTAAGTGAAGGGAGTGCATGAGAGTTCAGCAGCAAAGGACAAATCTATATTTAATATTTTCAATTCACAAGGTTAACAATGTAAAACACCATTGGTTCTTGTGTGTTTTAATCACAAGAAAGAATGAATGAGACTTGATCATAAAACACCATCTTACTATGACATATCATTGAGAGATAGAGCGATGCATTTTATGTCAGTAGTCTGCGATGCTGTTAAAAATATATAATTGAATTACAAGTTAGGAGAATTTCATCCAGCGTTTTGTCAAATAAAATAATAAAAGAAAAAAAGTTAGGTGTTTTTTTCCCTCCATGAGTATGAGCCTCATATCCTCACTATATAAGCCATTAAAGGGTTACAGGGTTAATGTTCCATGAAGGTAAATGATGACAGAATCACCATCTCTGCGTAAATCATTCCTTTTACTTGTTTCAATTATGGAAATATTCATAATGAACATATCAGTAGAAAAGCAGCAGTGGCAGAGTGGTAATCACATTGGGTTTGTTGAGTCACTAACACAGTCCCCAGTGAGATGCTCAAAGTAGCATAAGGATATGGTGCACACCAGCATGACTGAACACAACATGATGGATCTTTAGATGCACATGTTTAACATAAAACCAAGAGTTTGAAATAATAAAATGCATTTTTCAAATGATTGGCACATTTATGAAGCCTTCTGCCCTTGGTGTGACCCGTGACTCGTGACTCTTTAACTGCTGACACCTAATATACTAGATGTTTATCTGCCTTGATGTAAGATATCAGCAATCAACACACAGCTTAAGCATTCACTACAAAATAATAATCTTACTATTAAGACTAATTTTTCACAAAAAGGCAAACAAAGCAACTAACATTCTATTTAGTGCACTGATGCCATACATCCACTTGCTGGTATATGGAAAAAAATACTCAGAAAGTGAAGTTTGATACTTAATTAAATGCAATGAAAATTTGAAAAGATCAGTTATTTTGGGGGCCTACTGTATTTTGTTTTTATGGTCATTGGCTTTAGGTTTTGCGATAGAGGGTTTTATCATGGAGGTTATTAGCTGCTAAAGAGCTAAATGGCATTTCACCGGATGTGGCAGTAAATACTAACTTACCCTTGGACCACTAAAATGAAACATTTGAGACTAGTTAACGTAAAAGCTGTAAGTGTAGTTGAGGCTCATGAAAACACGAGTAACGTTAACCCACAAAAGTGGGATCCTCAGGCCATCCAAACCATGATGGATGGATGGAGACCACGGCGTATCGACTGCTACATCGCGGGGGTAAAGAGACCGCAGTTAATGGAAGCTTGTCGGGAAATAGTGACCGACCTTCTCGGCAGACGCGTCGATGGCAGACTGGTTGTAGAAAGACGTAACGGTTTTGGACCGTTCCCGAGCCAGCTCAGTGTAACTGGACATGGACGATGTAGACCGAAATCTTCTGTCGCTGAGCGGAGCGGCTGCTTTGGCCGGTGTGGACAGAAAGAGCCTGCTCACGCTGATCCTAGAGGCGCCGCTGCCCAGCAGCTCCATGGCCTGGCCTGTCACACGACCGCGCATTTTTACTCTTTGATAACGCAAATAACAAAATTCAATCCCCTGCCTGTAGCTTAAACATCCGTCTACCTCGCCATCCAATAGAGCGAATTCATTCGGCACTCTGGCACCATCACGTCTCTAGATGTGAAAATACCCGTTTCTTCTTCTTTTGTGTTTAATGGCGGTTGGCAAACCAGCTTAAGGTGCATTTCCGCCACCTACTGGGATGGAGTGTGAGGCCTCGATGAACGAATATATTATATACTACTTTAAAGGGGTCATATGATGCTGCTAAAAAGAAGGAGGGGGCTTTGTAGAAAACGAAGCGTTTGAGAGAGGCGGGGCATAGAGGACCTACAATAATGTACAGTATTTGAAAAATAATGTGTTTTTTGAACATTAAAGCATGTCAACATATTCTGTTACACCAAATACACAAAATAATGATCTTTAAAAAAGCATCATATGACCCCTTTAAATAAAACATACCCGTTTCTTCTGGTGTTTATCTGAAGACCCTTGTGATCAGCCAATCAGCGAGCAGAGGAGGCGGGGCTTTTGGGTCATCACGACCTCAGCAGCAACTGAAAGCCAGTGAGTCACGGCGCACTGGGCGCAGCAAGGACAATGAGACAGACAGAGAACAGGGTGTACTGTACTTCCTTTGACAAACACTCGCAGATTATGCTATGAAATGTATTATGTTGAAGAGAAAGAAACATTAAAAAAGCAAGACTATTTTATATATTATGCTCTGTAGTATGTTGATGTAGATATAAATTCAAGTTTCTGTTCGAATGATCAACACCCATTAGCAATTAGGGGAGATTGGGGTAAAAGCTGCAATGTTATACTTAAAGTGATACACCCATAAAAGTGATTTCTTCTTTTTCAGGTTGTTCTAAACCGTTTAGATGTATTTCTTTAGTGGAATGCTATTGAAACATCTCAGTTACTCTTTGCTTTCATTGTATGGAAAAATATGCAATGAAAGTAAAAGATGACTGAGACTGTCAGTCACTGTCATTATGTTTAACTTCTCTGTTTGTGTTACACTAAGAAAGTAAGGCATACAGGCTTGAAACAACATAATGGTGGGTAATTTTGGGGGATGAATTATTCCTTCAAGTTGTTCACAAGGAGAAATGAGAAAGATGTAAAATAAATACACCTAATTAAAATTAAAAGAAGGAATCTACATCATAGAAATAGCACTTTTAAAAATATAGTTCAGTGACACAATTTGCCTCACAATGTCAAGGGCTAAGTTGAATCATTAGGGAATAAGTGAACTAAAATGCACTCAAAATACAATCATTTCCATAAGCAATTGTCCACCCAAAATCATCATGATCATCATCCTAAAATCATCTACCAGTGTCAGCTGCAATGCTTCACTGCCATTCACAAATCTGTGGCCTCATGGGATAGTAAAGTGTCCATTGAATGCACATTTCAGAATGTCACTGGAACTATTAGGTTATTAGGTACTCTTTTACTGTGATTTCAGACATAATTTTTTTGCCTCACAATGTCAAGGGCTAAGTTGAATCATTAGGGAATAAGTGAACTAAAATGCACTCAAAATACAATCATTTCCATAAGCAATTGTCCACCCAAAATCATCATGATCATCATCCTAAAATCATCTACCAGTGTCAGCTGCAATGCTTCACTGCCATTCACAAATCTGTGGCCTCATGGGATAGTAAAGTGTCCATTGAATGCACATTTCAGAATGTCACTGGAACTATTAGGTTATTAGGTACTCTTTTACTGTGATTTCAGACATACTTTTTTGTCACATACTGTTTTTCTATTTAGTAGGGATGTATGTGATTTCGTATGCAGCCAAGCTTCATGTTGCGTACATCACTCATTACATCACATGGTAATGTTTACGGCAAGCATGAAGTTGCATATGACAGCTTTTAGGAGCTCCTCTAAAAAAATTTTTTACTGGTAAATGATATAGTTTTGTAAATTAGAATTCAATAGACATTCTTAATTCAATTGTGTATGGGCACACAACTCTGCTGGGCTGAGTTTTATCGGGTTATAGAAAAAACATAAGAATAACAACTGAAAATTAACTTATTTATGCAAAAGCTGAATGAACTAGCCTTTTCATTTCACAGCTCAGAATGTGTAACAAACACTTATGACAATTCACAATTAAAATAACAAAGACACTGATTAAACTCAAAATTAATTTATTTGCAATATTTAGTTTTTCTATTCCTCGATAAAAAGAGAGAATTATCTCGTTCCGATATGAGGCAAAGATGACACAAGAAAATTGTGACAATGTTGTGCCAATGTGAGCAAAAGATGATGCAAAAAAAATTAGAAATAGGAAAATTCACATAAACGAGATGATGAAGACAAGAAATGGAAGGAGATGTAGCGAACACACTCCCAACACTTTGGCTCCACTGGGGTCCTCCATAATATGAGAAGACATGAATGTGCAAGTATAAAACACAGATGACTCGAACATAAGTGGGAAAACACTCTTGCACCGATGTGAGCAAAAGATGATGCAAAAAATTAAAAATAGGAAAATGCACATGAACGAGACGATGAAGACAAGAAATGGAAGATGTAGTGAACACGCAAGTATGAAGCACAGATGACTCAAATAAAAAAGATGGTTCCTCGATCCCTCTGGCTCTGCTGGGGTATACCTCGTCTCTATGGCTCCACCTTGGTCTGTCATCCCTCTGGCTCCAACATGGACTTCTGGGCATTTGGCTGTGTCTGGACCCTCTAACCTTTTGGCTCCACTGGGGTCCTTCTTAATATGAGGAGATGATGCGAATGCACAAGTATAAAGCATTGATGACTCAAACATGAGAGCGAGAATAATGTTGTGCCAATGTGAGCAAAAGTCGATGCAAAAAAATTCAAAATAGGAAAATGCACATAAACGAGACAATGAAGTCAAGAAATGGAAGGAGATGTAGCGAACACATTCCAACACTTTGGCTCCACTGGGGTCCTCCATAATATGAGGAGAAGATGTGAATACACAAGTATAAAACACAGTTGACTCAAACATGAGCGGAAGAATTATCTCACTTCTATGTGAGCCAAATATACTTGCAAAATAATCCAAAACAACAAAATGCCCACGAACGAGATGATGGTTCATTAATCCCTCTGGTTCTAATGGGGTCCCTTGTCTCTATATGACTCTGCCTTGGTCTGTTGTCCCCTGGCTCCAACATGGATTTCTGGGCCTTTGGCTGCATCTGGACCCTTCAACCCTTAAGCTCCACTGGTGTCCTTTATAATGCGTATGAGAAGAGGATACGAACGCACAAGTATAAAGCATTGATGACTCAAACATGAGAGCGAGAACAATGTCACGCCAATGTGAGCAAAAGGTGATGCAAAAAAATTCAAAATAGGAAAATGCACATGAACGAGATGATAAAGACAAGAAATGGAAGGAGATGTAGCGAACACACTCCAACACTTTGGCTCCACTGGGGTCCTCCATAATATGAGAAGACATGAATGCGCAAGTATAAAACATCAATGACTCAAACATGAGAGGAAGAACAATCTCGCTTCTATGTGAGCCAAATATACTCGCAAAATAATCCAAAACAACAAAATGCCCACGAAAAAGATGATGGTTCGTTAATTAATCCCTCTGGCTCTGCTGGGGTTCCTCGCCTCTATGACTCCACCTTGGTCTGTGATCCCAAGAACCCATAGACTAAATGCACATGAATGAGATGATGAAGAGTAGAAATGGAAGGAGATGTAGTGAACACGCAAGTATGAAGCACAGAAGACTCATAGATAAAAGATGGCTCATCAATCCCTCTGGCTCTGCTGGGTTTCCTCGTCTCTACGATTCCGCCTTGGTCTGTTGTCCCCCTGTCCACCTCAACACTCTTGCACCGACGTGAGCAAAAGATGATGCAAAAAATTCTAAATAGGAAAATGGAAGGAGATGTAGCGAACACACAAGTATGATACACAGATGACTCAAATATAAAAGATGGTTCCTCTATCCCTCTGGCTCTGCTGGGGTTCCTCGTCTCTATGGCTCCACCTTGGTCTGTCATACCTCTGGCTCCAACAAGGACTTCTGGGGGCACAGACGACTCATAGATAAAAGATGGCTCATCGATCCCTCTGGCTCTGCAGGGTTTCCTCGTCTCTACAGTTCCGGACTTCTGGGCCTTTGGCTGCATCTTGACCATCCAACACTTTGGCTCCACTGGGGTCCTTCTTAATATGAGGAGATGATGCGAATGCACAAATATAAAGCATTGATGATTCAAACATGAGAGGGAGAACAATCTTGCCCTGATGTGAGCCAAAGATGATGACTGATTATCTTTTCAACCAAGCCAAAGGTTCACATTTGTTGTTACAGATATGATATAGCTAACATGCAGTGAAACATGCAATCATACATCAACAGCTTTACAGTGCCTTCATACCAACTGTGAGCAAGCCAAAGGTGACAGTGGCAAAGAAAAACTTCCTTTGGTACAATAAGTAGGGGGTACAATAACCTGTACTCACAAGAGTAGTAACCCAGGTAGGACTGTCCCAAGTATGGGTCCATTCATACAGCCAATGTGACAGTTCTGTGCACAGGTGATCCTTGGAAATGACTGAATCATACTTCTCAGTTTATGAATGTTTCTCCAACAATGACATTTAAGATCCTACAGATGATTGTTCTTTCCACTGATACTGTAGTGAGAACAGCTTAAAAGCCACACACTGATGATGAACATATTATTTAAGCCAAGTAAAGTCTCTGAAATGTATTCTATACATACAGTAGTCAACATTTGAAGTGGATCAAAAAAGTTCATCAATGTTGTTCTAAGACAAGAAAGCATTTTGGTTTTAGGTTTTAGGACAACTTTGATGAAAGGTTTTGATCCACTGCAAATGTTGACTACTGTATATATTAAATAAGATTTTTCAAGGTTACTTTAGATTTTTCTTATAAAGACTTAACGTTACCACTGGTAAAAGATTGCTGTCTCTCATGGTGACCGTGATTTCACCAAGTACAACATGTTCCTGGATCAACATCCTTGTTGATCCTGGAACAACATTCCAATTAACCAATCAGAATTGAGGGATAACTTTTCAGGAAATATCCATTTTAGGCTTAAGGT